GGATGGGGAGGATCTTATGTCATACGTTTGCATCTGCATCAGATAACACTAATCCAAGCTAGCAATGCCAGTTTGTCCTCAAATGACTAGTATTTCAATCAAAAGACTAATATAATTTTATTTATAATATAAAATGAAATACTGCTTTATCTCTGAGCATCCAAATTAATGCATCTGGCTCCCTGGGGCTTCCTGTCTTCAGTAACCTGAATTTTCTACTACCCCCTCCTTACACCAGGTCCTGGTCAGGATCTGTAACTCCAGTCCTCCCCTGCACGTTCCCTAATGCTTTCCTGTCAGCATCCTTAGCTCCTGCCATGTCATCAGCATGCCTTTTCCCTCTCCCTCAATGTGTCTCTCATTTTTCTTTACAAAACCGCTTTAGGAAAACAATTTTTCTGAAAATTGTAGGGAACTCTTAATTCTGACACTGTTATGTTTCTGGCAAATTTGACCAAAATAGGTTCAAAAGTGATTATGAAGGAAAAAAAAAAAAAAAAAAAAAAAAAAAAGTGTAGGTTTCAAGGTTTCATTTAATTAGAAAACTGGACTGAAACAGTCAGTGTTAGATGTTGTTTTTGTTGATCTCATGTTTCATTAATAGCAGAAGTTATCTTTGATATTACTCTATCATTTGAGAAACGATTCCTCTGCTTTCGATAAACCACAAAGGTCTCACCTTTTATGCAATAAATACTTAAGGAGTGCTAGATACTTTCATTGGAGAACATGTCCATGGGCTTGAAGGCGGAAAAGTCCAAATATTCTTCTTGTTACCACAAGATGCAAAGGAAAACCAAAGACTGTAAAAGGTTTTGAGGGAATCTGAGCACAGAGCTGCTATCCCTGTTGGTTTGTTGAATACATAAGATGTTCCTTCTCCCCCGGAAACATTAGAGCAGCACATAATTCAAGATGACAGGAAAATCTCTGCTTTATTTTAGGGCTCTGGTAATGAGCTCAGTGGTGATTACGTTGTGTTCCACAGGGCAGAGGGGAGATGAGGGTATCACATAGCTAGTTTTAGGCCAAAGCACTCCACCAATCCATTTCAAAATATCTGTTATCTCTAAATGTAACTAAAAATATCAAGTTCTCAGTTCAGATCCTTTTTCTAAATGTCACAGGGAACACCCTCAAGCTTAGGCATCGTGTGCCCTTCATTTTATAATCTGGTGTTTTAAT